AGGCAGGCATTGGCTGGCTGCACCATGTTTTGGTGGACAAATTATCCAGATTGGTTGCAGATGTGAGTTTGCCCCGAACAGATACTGCCTAGCCTGAATGACATCATGGGGTTATAAATGCATACACAGGAGAAAAGGGAGAGAGGAATCCTGGAAAACTTTTGCTTGCTGGAATTTTGAGATACTCACTGCAGTCACTTCACACACACACACACACACACACACACACACACACACACACACACACACACACACACACACACACACAAAACTCTAATTGGTTTGGTTATCTAGGTTTTTTGCCTTAACTTGTGCACTTAAAGCAACACTAAGTAACACATTCTTCATCTTAGAAATGAAAAGTTAAATTCATAAACAATTTATACACCCTAAAGCCCTTTCTTAGTTTACTACACTCAAGGGATTTCCAGCTATAATCTAACTTGGTGTGATATGACCAATAGCTTATGGTGGCTAATGTTAGCCGACATTAAATAGATGTCGGTGTATAATGAACAGCACTTGGTAGGTTTCATTCTTCTTTACTTGTGCTACTGTTAGGCAGCATTGTAGTGTTTAGCGTTATCCTCTACTTGTGGCTCTGTTTAGCAAAAGTCACATATTTCCCTTTAAAGTTGAAATTTGATACCATTTAAACCAAGAAGGCTCTGGTTTATCATCATACATTTAAAAATAACATTTTGGGATTTGGATGTGTATTTTATTATCTAGGAGCAAATATACTGCATTGCTCACAACATCTTTGTGACATTAATTTCTAGTGTCAGATAATGTTTAAGTGGCCAAACAATATGAACAACCATTGCAGTCATTGATTGACATTAGCCTTCCTGGGCCTTGCAAACCAGTCAGTGTGGACTAAGAGAGATGTTGGTTTAGCCTCAGACCATTTTAATAACTGCTGTTGTACTCGCCACACCCCTCTAATGGCCTGTGGTTATGTAAGGGAGTGGGATGGATAAGGGAAAGTGCTGAAGCTGCTCCAGAGCCTGACTCAGTCTGCCCTGCAGGGTTGCACAGTTTTAGGCCAGAACTGTTCATCAAATATTATCTTTGGCACAATGAAATTTAGCTCTGGAGAAATAACTCAGTTGCTACAGTGTAGTCAAAGTCATACCATCAGGTATGGATAAGGGAGGCTAAACGTTAACAATGGTAATTATATGACAGATTGAGGAGCTCCTTTGTTCAGTTAGTGATAGCATACAGTAATGCAACCAACAAGCCTGTGCGCTGTAGCTGTGTCTTGGTCCATGCTACAAACTTCCAATATGCAAACACTGTGGGGTTTACACGTACATATCTCTGCTCACTGTTACAATGGAGTTGTTGCACCTCACAAGCATAGCACACATGTCTGACTCTATTCTGCTCATGAAATAATTTTCAATTTGACAAAAGTGATTTTACATTGACAAGTCACTTGTCATGTAGCTAAGAGAAGATAAGGATCCCCATTGTATGGGGTAACTTGCATCCCCATTTGTTTGCTTCCCTTTTAGCCCCAAATCCACCCATCCCACCAACGGTGGACAGAGGAGTCAGTGACACCCCTATGAGGGGAAGAGAGACAAGAGGAGGGGGCTGCTTGGGTAATGCTGGGAGGCTCTAATAAAATGTAATCCTATTATATGGTTCCCACTAGAGGGCAACAATAATAAAGGTTTCCCTAATAACACGAGCAGACCAAACCCAAATGGAAAACAGCTCCTCCGGTCAAGTCCCACACTTGTACATATATCCTCTCATTAACCCAATTGCTGTTGGGCCACATTACACCGACAGGCCTTCGAGATTTAAATCGTGATGGCGAGGCAAGAGTTAAGTCAAACAAATGTGTTTCATCAAACTGCAGTTTGGGCTGCTCTGCATAAAGGAATTGAAGGGGGGAAGAGGAGGAGGAGGAGTGAGGGAATGTGTGCGGGTGGGAAGTTGGAAGCAGAGCCCCGAGGAAACCAATCAGAACTTCTCCACCCTCCCTTCCTGTGTCAAAGCCACCGGGGTCTCAGGTGTGTGTTACATGAGCTAATACCTCCCAAACTTGATTGTTTGTGTTACAGTAATCAGAGTTTTGTAAATTACCATTTTGGAAATGATAGTCCTATCATTGGTAAACAAAATCACAGTATAGTAGTATCCAAATGATTATGAAGTTTAATTCTTCCTTGTGGGCCAATTGAAATGAAATATTTCTTAGTAGTAAAGTTACAAAAAGCTGGGATTTCATCAGATCAGCTTCTTTACAAACAAACTCTTTGCACAGGGACAGTGGAAGTGACTTTCTCTGACTAATATTAACGAGAAATGGCAATCTCTCTACTGGAAAAAGACATAAACACAAACTCTCATATTTATATGATTTGATAATGTAATGAATGAGTTATTCCGCTTCCTAGCTATCTCACACAAAATGCAGTAAAATATTTATCATAAGTGACAAGGTGAGTGAGAATATCAATCATATTCTCAAGACAGCTTGAGTTATTAAGTGAGCCAATGTAACAGTATTACAAAACCCAGAATAACAAAGTTATTTATCTCTCCCTCTCTCTCTCTCTCTCTCTCTGCATGTGTGTATATGTGTGTACATGGAGTTGTGTGTGTCTGTGTTTATGTGTCTGACAGCATCAGACTGAGAGAGAGAGCGAGAGAGAGTGTCGCATGCCTTCCTGTTCCTGTACCACCCTCCAACCCCAGAGCCGCAGACTCAAGGCAGTTTCCAGAATCAAACAATTTCACGCAGCTACTGGAGGAGGAAATGAACTGAGCCCAGAGCAATAATAAAATTATACAAATGTTATTACAGACTCGCCTGCTACTGTCCTACTTTAATTCAAATTTGGGCACTCCAGGCGGTGCTGGTGGCAGAGACCTTCCTGAATAAATCAACATTAGCTTACGTCTAAATTATTAAGGAAGTGGGAGACTTTCTTGTTTATAGTATGAATTATTAAACAAGTGTTTAACGCTGTTTTTCTTCATGAATCCCCAAATATTATTTGCTAATGATCTTTAAGGTGTGTGTTTTATCTTTTGCCCCTTCTGTTGTATGCTGGGAATTGAGAATCTGAATTTTCAAGTCGCAAGAAATCTGCCTGTTCTCAGTTAGATAAGCATGAGATGCACTTTGAGATATACTTTGCTGGCATCTGTATGATGTGCAAATGAGGCTCTAGTTATAACAATATCCCCATCATATAGCCATTGTTGGCATTTGCAATGCATTTGAATGGAAATGAATGAATTATGGGGGCAGCGACTGTGAAGGCTCTCCATGCGTTATCAGTTTTCTGCTCAACATCTTTCTGATAAGCTGTGATGTTAACAAACAGACAGCTGAAAAAGTGTTGATCTATTATTTGCTGTCACTTTTTATTTGCCTCTGCCTAATTGAGGTGTCTGCAGCAAGCTTTTGGAAGTTTGTCAACACACAGAGAGAGCATTTTTCCAATGAAATCTTAGGATTTGATTGGCACTTTACAGCTCATTTATGTAAGAGAATGAATATGTATCACAAGGAGACTTCAACATTGCCTTGCTCCGAGTGCCCACAGAAGCCACTTATAAATACTTTTTAATATTTTACTCTCTATCACAAGCATGAAATTCATCACAAAACCAAATTTCCAGTTCAACAGGGACTGCTCTCCTCACCTGTCTTCCTCTATTTAATCTTCAGATGGGCAAGGGCTGATAAATCAAAACTGAGTGAGCCCATTCCCCATCGTCTGTCCCAAGAGGAAATAGTCAATGCATGAGACATCAGATTTATATACTCATTTATTTAGGCTATAAAAATGATTAAGGGGAGCTGAGAGGGTGCTGGCCTCGAGCCATTGAAGCCTTAAGGGACAGAGGCAGCATGCCTGCAGGTACAGGATAGTGCAGCTGAGAAATACAATGCTGTCCATTTTTGACGACAGGAGGCCTTGAAGAAAAAGCATTTGTTCACATCAACACTCTTATACTACTCATTTTAAAACACTGAGAACTGTCTGCAACATTTTAATATAAAAGTGTATTGATAATGCTGTTTAATGTATACAGCTGGGGTGAAAACAAGAATCCTCTCACCAAACTGTAAAGTGCTGAGAATACCAAGGTTGTAGGAAAAAGGTACTTTCACATTAACGCTTATGCTCCTATTTGAGTACTGGGTCCCAGTTATAGGGCTCTACAGCACTTAATCCTCCTGTGTAGTGCTGAATTAATGGCCTGGACCAGTTTCAAATGAATTGTGGCTCAGACTTATGAATAAAACTGACTTGTGTCTACCCACGTCTTCCGTGTAACCTGTACATCCAAGGCTCGTGGCTGCCCTCCCCTGGAGAAATACAAATGGGAGCAATATTGCACATGAGGTGATTCACACTGTAACCAGTAGGTGATGCTGTTGTCGCACATAAAAACTGCACTTACTAAGGGAAGAAGTTGAAATGGGGGAGTTAAGTCCATGTAGGAGTAAAAACTATTTTGATTTAGTATCTGAATTTTACTGGTGTTCAATATAGTTGCACCATGTAGACAACTTCAGTTGATGCAGCAGGATCAGGGGCGCTGATCATTTGCTCCACATTACAGGAAAAGATTGAATTGCACCTGTTCTTTTAGCAAAGGAAATAAAACATAGACATAACAGATCGCCTCTATTTTGTATCACAAAGTGGTATCATTTCCTGTGCTCTCTGCTGATAGAATGAGATTACATGAAGCTATTCTCAGAGACTTAACTCACAAGGAACACACATCATGGATATTTATCTGACCTTAGGGAGACATAATCTAAAGGTAGATGAGCCAATCCATCATTGATCTGAACCTTTCCTCTCCCTAGTGCCCAGCTCCTACCACCAGAAACGAGTGAGCCTTATATTGTAGGTATGGCCACTGTGTGTGAGGAAGATGTAGATTTGTGCAGCTATCCTGTTTGCGCGTTTCAAAACATTAACAGCCCAAATTATTCAATAATTAATGATGACTTGGAAATTAGGAAAAAACTTTATTATTACAACCAAATATTTTGTAGCACTTGCAGTTTGTAAAACAATTAATGAGCAATATTTGAACCCAAATTCATCAAGATAGAGCCTCCAAGTATCTTATCAATAATTTAAGTAATAATATGAAATGCAGCAAATCATACGGAGAAATAAGAAGAACCTAATCTAGGTCTAGAGAATAAAAACAGTTCACAAAAAAGTGAAATAGAAAAGACAAAATCATTATCCATTGTTAAACATAATGTACACTAAACACAGAAAGGCAGTGTTTACATAAAGATGAACTGGTTGTTTCCCTGACTAATGCACTGAAAATAGAGAGCACAGTAAAACAACTCTGATAATAAAGCTTGTCAGAGATGTCTTACATTGCTTGGGACCTGTAATGTGCTTAATGATCACAAGGAACATCTCTCCTGTTATTGCATATACAATACAAGGACCAAATGTGACACTAATCCAAAAATAACAAGGCTGCATATTCTTCTTCAGTCCTCCAATTCAGCGTGATGACCTCACATAATTGGTTGACCCGTACACATATTTCCTTAACACAATGTATTGCGGGCCGTCATTCTGCAGCGTGCAATGCTCGCCACATACCAGCACTGCTACTAAATTGTTGAAGGAGGGCCTCAGGAGCAGTATTGAACAGGTCGTAGATGTTTGTGTGATTGAGCCACAGCATCATATTAGCTTTATGACAATGAGAGTAATTTAGCCTTGCTGTGAAGCCTCATGGGCAGAAATCATATTCTGCTCTGAGGACAAAGTCTTTGGAGGGGGGACAGGCTCAAGATGGATACAAAGTTTTACAAAGTCATTCCGCTCTACAGATTGGTCTCCATTTCCAGTGCATGTGATAGTCATGCTGAAGACAGAACTTCTCCCGTTGAGTCGTGGAAAGGATCTTTTTTCTCAGCTTTCTCCACATCAGCGATGGTGTGGATGGAGCCGGGCTTGATGGCAATGTCCTCCGTCTCCACCTCCCTATATTTCCCTGACGGGTCCTTCTGAAAGACCTGCTTCATCCTCTTCTTTAGCTCAGGGTCAGGGCAGTACAGGTACTCATACAGACCAGCAGCCAGGATGGCCCCCAGAACAGGTCCCAGCCAGTACACCTACCATAAACAGCAAGACAAACACCGTAGTTAGTCAGCTGGTTAATTAGTGCCCGTAGGAAATGTTTTATTACTGAAGTCAGTTGCTATCAAATCTTTTCCTCTGTTATGCTACAGAATAGGAAAAGAGGTTCAACCTTCATCAGAGGCAGGTAGTAGAGTGTCTGTGGCATTAAACACATTCCTCCCAGAGAAGAGACTTCTGAATATACCAGCCACAGTGACAGTTATTGACACGCACACAGACAACATGACACCATGCTGTCTGCAAATAGCTCAGTGGAAGTAATTGCCTGGGTACAAAAATTCAAAGCTAATGCTATTTTACACCTTGCTCAGTGGTGTCTCATTATGTAGCTAGAAGCGAAAATGCTGTTAATTTGTGATTCCTTTGCACTTCTTTTGGTGGATGAAGTGATAAATTCAAGGGTCACTTCTAAGCATTTAAAGGTTTTCTCCTTGCATTTACTGATAAAAGTGAAAGACTATTCTTTGATTACATCTTTAGGTCACAGCTGTTTTTACTGTTCTGGCAATGGTGCTGAAAATGTGACCTTACCAGGTTTCAACATGCCACACTAGCCTACTGTGGTAGAGCTTGCCCCCTTCAGGACTTAAGAAAAATCCTCATTACCATGACATAATATTTGACCAGTTTTGATTTATAACACCTGAGTACAAATACAGGAATTGCACATGTCCAAGCACACTGAACCAGCCACTATCAGGTGTAACTGGCTAATATTTTGGCCATGCAAACTCCTTAAAGAAAGATTATCCTCTTGGAGAGGTATCTCTTACCCAGTGGTTCTCGAAGTTGAGTGTGACCACTGCAGGCCCAAAGGATCGAGCAGGGTTCATGCTGGCTCCTGTATAGGGGATCTGGAAGACACATAACAGCCTTTTTTGCAGTCTAAATGTTTAAACATCATGGTTTTGTATAACATTATCAGCAGAGATATGTTTTTAGGTACAATTTTGTCTTACTGACTCACAGAATATGTCTTACACTGCAGACTGTATCTAACGCAAGTCATAATATATGTGTATATGCAATTGCTAAACAAACCTAAGGAGAAATCAGTTGAGCCGTGCCAGAGATAACATCTATTTCCCTGTGCATTCATTTGCTCTGCAGGGTTCAGGGAGCCCCCAGAGATTGGTTGCTATGCGATGGCAGCCTCCAATAAAGATGTGCACGTGGGTGTGAATCAGTGAGAAGCATACAATATCACACACTGAAGAATAGATGCTTCATTGCACCTGCTCTTTCTTAAGAAGCATCGGCGCTCCAGCTTTCAGAGCAAGCTAAAGAGGCTTGCACGTGGAACTGGTCTTGTTCTGCAATTTTTTAATGTGGCTTGTTGAATTTATTCAGATTTTGAGATGAATCTTTAAATCACTGTTTCACTGTTGCGGTTGGGAGCACAGAAAGTGTTAGCTAGAAGATTTTTCTAAGGCTGATTTATTGTTGTCAGATTTTTTTATACTGTACTATATTATTTTAATTTACTGTAAATATTTAATTTTTCATATAATCTAGATGGACTTCTTGCTAGAGTAATGAGAATTTTGGAACATGCAGTAACAACATAGGGAGAGGCCAAAATTAGTTTAGCATCACTGCTATAAATATTCTCTCTTAGCCTTCTAAACCCCAACTGGCATTTCACAGGGATCTCTTATCTATCTTACTGGAAGGTACTTACTGCAAATAAGTGACCAATAGCTACAGCAAAGCCAATGGCAAGGCCAGCAGAGCCTCCTAGGTCTGAGCGGTTGGGGTCACAGGTAGCAAAGACGGTGAAGACCAGTTCGAATGTGATGAGGAGCTCCACAAGAAGGCCGTGTCCCACTGAGATTTTGGAGTTCACCTTGGAAACAGAAGATTTAACTTAACTGTAAGAAAATGTGTCATACACAAAAAAGACCTAATATGACCTGATTCTCACCGTGGTCACACCAAGGGACCCTCTGACAGCAGCAGGTGTGACGAAGTAGAGGATCCCAGCTCCTGTAATAGCTCCCAGGCACTGAGCCACCACATAGAACAACGCCTTTGCCAGGCTCAACTTTCTAGTCACCACCATGGCTGCAGTGACCGCTGGGTTAATGTGTCCGCCGCTGATGTGGCCAAAACATTGCACCATTGTGGCGATGCTCAGGCCGAAGCATAGAGAGATGAGGACTAGGTCAGCTGGGGGAGGCTTCTCCTCCCCTGCAGCCCAGTTGATGGTGGAGCCCAGACCGAGAAGGACAAAGATGAGAGTGGCCAGGTATTCTCCAGACACAGCCCTCCAGAAGTCCTTGGTCCAGATCCCTTTAAAAGCAACCATTATGCTCTGACAGTTACACCAGGACAGGAACCTCCTGGCAAAAAGAATAATGAGCAAAATGATTAGCCCACTTATGTATTCCTGGTGTGTGCATGTGGCTGGAAATGTACTGAACCCTATCAGGATGGCTGCCTCAGGGCACAACATTTATAACTCCACTAGGGATTTAAGCCAGTGACTTTCCATCACAAAAAGCAATACAGAGCATTCTTTAAACATTGTGTATAGGGGCAAATGATCACACAGTCAAAGCATACAATGTTTAATTGCTGTCAGTCACTGAACTTTAACCAGGATGGAAGAAAAATGTACTTTGACAAACAGAACATGATTTACCTTAATTAGGGTTACCATACCATACAAAAATGCAGAAAATGAAATTTAATATCATGACATTTCTTTCAACAAACCTCCAAGGCAACAAAGTTGCACTGATAACTTCAGTCATCTCTTTTCCTCAGTCAAAAGGCTGAAACTTACCAAATGCAATAACATGTTCTCCCTCTCTCTGTCCCCGTTGTGTCTGTCTGTCTATTTTCATTCATAAGTCCTGGTGAGTTTTTCAACCAGCAGAGACATGTCTCCCTTCATCACATCTAAAAGTTGAAATGGCTGTGACCTGCAGTACTTACAGGAAAGCAGCAGGCTGTGTGAGCGCAGGAATGGAGAAGAGAGCAGGTCTGTCAGTCGAACATGATCCACACATTGTGCCCCGGGATCGCATCCAGCAGCTTTATTAAGTTACTAACCAGGGCATCACCTCACGGGAATTAAACAGCCTTCTCAGGGGGAGGAGTCATGAGATTTGCTTGCAGTGCAAACAGTAGCAGAGTTGCACGAAGTGCTACTGCACAGTGACTCAGTCAGCCTCAGCATCTTAGTCATATCAGAGCTTTGAAAACACACTGGAGTGAGTGCAATATTTACAAAACAAGACTGCAGAACTACACATTAAATTCACTTCATTCAATTTAAAAACTTACTGACCATTTCCACTCCAAAGTGTCAAAAAAATACCAAACTATAGTCATCCTAAAGTATTTGTAGAGGGACAATGTACAGATATTACAGCAGTGTTATTGTGATATAATGTACAAAAATAGTGGCTCAGTAGTGGTTTTTTATACTTTACTTGAGTATTTCTACTTTATTCTGTTATTCTCCTACTTTTACTACATCTATTGTACTTTTTTTACTCCATTACATTTATTTAATGGCTATAGTTTTCAAATTGTCTTTCTTTTTGTACATTTTGTCGCTAATACTTTTATACTTTTACTTGAAGCTTGAATATAGGATGTTTAGGCAATTTATAATAGAGTGTTTCTAAATTGTGGTATTGGTACTTTTACTTAAGTAAAGATTTTATTCAAACCAGTAAAAACTATTTTTAAAGAGTAAAATGTTATATTTGATTTGAATCTTTAGGACAGTTGAGATACGGAGGGCAGATTAATAAAATTAGTGCCTTTGACTAAAAGTTACCTCATTGTTGAAAAAAAGCCAAGGATTTTGTTAGTGTGTAACAGGTGCGATGTGAGCATTCATTTCAACAAAAACATGGTTTACCAATCTATTGGTAGAAATATCCAGGTCTAAGGATGTATAACAGCCCTGAAAAAAACCCATAAACTCTAAGTTTACATCTTTGTTAACAAAGAGGCAAATAAAATTCCACATTTCTATTTTATCTGGATCAAGTACTTAAGTGTTTGCACATTAGCAAACACACGCACACACATTGCTTTTCTTCATCATTTGTTCCATGATAAGCCTCCCAGAAAGAAACATGGCCTATTTGGTATGAACGGAAAGATAAACATGTTATCTTTATGGCGATCAAACAGTATCCTTGTGGGATGAATACAGAGATTGCTGCAAGGAAAGGTCCTCCCTCCCTCCCTCCTTTTTTTTTTTTTTTTTTTACATTTACCTGTTGTCATTCTTTGGGGTTTTTACTGTGACCTCTAGATAATTAAGAAGTGAGTAAATAAATAAATGAAAACACAAAATTTGCACTTTTTGCAATAATTGCTAGTTTCTTAATTGCTTAAAAGGTTAAACATAAATCATCATGCTATTACTCCTTGCTCTTACAAGAAGGAACTCAGATGACTAAAAATAAAGTACAATGGTCTTTTTATTTGTCAGTTCAAGTGCCAAAGGGGAAAGCTGTAGCTGTCTATTTTGGGTACCCTTCTGATAGTCATCTAAAAAAAATAGGGAAATAGGGATTGCAAACATGTGAAAATCTATATGACTTGTACTGTAAGGGATGCCCAGTGTTTTCATGGTTTACAGTGAGTATTTGAGGCCACGCTTCCCACAAATCACAACTGGTTTACCTCCTTCTTGTGTCTGAGGAAGAAAGAAATGTCTGCAGCTCCCTTCAGAAAAAAGGTGAGAACTGCCAAACTGGAACTATTTTTGGTCTTAGCACATTTTTTTTTCATTCTTCTTTTACACTTGCATCTGTACACTTGGCTCGAAGCCAACAAAAGTCAATTCACTTTTAGAAGCCTGATTCAGCTTCTCCTGGAAATCTTAAATCCAAACCTCCAGAAGAGTATAATGAATAAGAGTGACTCAAAGTGATCAACCTACAGATGCTAACACTTTCATATTATGTCATTTTGAATCGGATTACATATTAATGTCAGTGAAAATTTAGAAATGAATCTCCAGCCAATAGAATTTTTGAGGAGAAGGATTTTTCTCCGTGGTATTACTGCTTTATAAAAAAAACAGTAAAGGTCAATTTCTAACCAAATAAAATGTTGCCTTTGTCATTTTGACAGTTTCAGAACATTGCTGCTTCATTCACAAGTTAACAGAGAAGTGATCAGTGAACAAATAGTTTTAATCTTTCTCCAGAATAACAAAAATTACATTCAGCTTCCAGATAACATAATTTCTAACATCATCATTCTATTATTTCTAGCCATAATCCTTCTCACATTTTTTTTTTATTGTAGATGTTTGTGACTATGATGATTATATGAACAACAAGCAGCACAGAGGATACTTTGTCTGGACACATATAATCTTCATATCTGCATGTATTCTTCGAGGGATAACTGCAGGATTTATGTGTTTTTATTTATTGTTTTTATATCGGATGGTCTGAAAAAGAGATTCTTTGAAAGTTTGACTAGTTGCATTTTATGTATCGGTTTATGATGACTAGTACACACAGACTAAACAATTCTTTAAATAATAAAAACAGAACAATGCTGAACACTCAGTGGACACTGAACTGAATGTTTATTGTGTTGGTTGCTTGTTCTGAGAAACGCCATCCATCTTGTCAGAGGCGCCATTGTTAAGTGTCTTTACTCATCATGCCTCATGTATGACCTCAATCTAAAGAAATTAGTTGCAATTTGCCACTCCCATTTGCCAATATTTTAATAGTATCTTTCTGCACATTCTTACTTATGACATTCCATAAGTACCATAGCAGGTGCCACAGGTGTCTGATATCCTCCTGTTCAAATACTGAAGATATGATAAAACTGGTTATCTAGTAGAAAGCACCACATTAGGCACCAAACACAGCTCCATCTTTCTCAAATATGTGTTTGAGATGGAGTGATTACTTACTGTGGTGAAAACAGGATGTCTTAATCTATAAAATAATTTAGTGAAACAGTAAAAATGAATCATCCATTGTGATTCAGATCAAATCTAAAACCCTGCCCAAAAATGTAAAGATCTATCTAAGCTAGATATGTATGTACAATGTACAGTGCTTCACAAACACTACACATGTAGCTTGTGGTAATTTTGTGAGACCAAACTTAATGATGCATTCAGTGACCATGTAAGTGACCTTGCACTAAAAGGACATTCTCTGGAGCTTTCATGCGTTAATATGTTTCATGTGTTAATATTTGTCTGTAAGATCCTTCATGCTCCTTAAGGCCAACACAATAGTTCCTCACCATTAAGCAACAAGAAGGTCAAGAGGAAAGCAAAGGTGATTTTAGATTTTGAGATAATATGAGGCTCACTGGATTGAAAAATATATCTTTGCCAACTCATCTTATCTTACAAAGTAATATCAATGTTTTTTTCAAGTAGACACAGTTTTCTTTTCTTTCTTTCTTTCTTTCTTTCTTTCTTTCTTTCTTTCTTTCTTTCTTTCTTTCCATCTCTCTTATCTGTGCAAATTTCAGTCTGACGTAAATAAAATACTATGACCTAGATTTGTCTTATATGTGAGCACAAATATGTTCCACTACACGCACACACACACACACACAGACACACACACACACACACACCACATTTATGCAATAATGTGTAAAACGATAAAACTTTTTTTTAGTAATTGGATGACTTATGCTGCAACAAGAGTCACCAAGCATCTGCAACATAACCTCTACTCTGGATACTTCACCTACTCTCTTTGGAATGGTTATGAAGGTGGTAGACGTTAACTTCTAGAATTTCCGCATGTAGAGGTGCTGTAAGCATATTGTGAATGCATACTGCAAACAACTGCACGTCAGGGTTAGAGTAACATGATCCATCCTGTGATACCATCAACGGAGTGAAATATTTTTGTCATTTAAAAAGGAGATATTGCAGTCTCAGTTTAGATGTAAAGACATACTTGGGAGGAGGACGAGGAAGATATATTGTCGTCACTTGTCACTATTCAGTTATGCAGCTTGTATCATTTTGCACCCCCAGCCAAAAACAAGAGCATATAGAGGCACAGTTTTCATGGAAAGAAATTCTTCTTTTTGCTTCCCTGAAATACTAAATACGGTATTTCCAATAAGTCTAATTTTAAGCGGCAACTTATGGTTGATTTTACAAAAGGAATTCAAGGTAGAAAAATCTCCTTGTTAATGCCATTGCTTCCAAGTTTACACTTTCAATTAAGAAAAAATAAACAAAAAAAGGCCAGACCTTGGATAAGACAGCAAACTTTAGTGCCGTATTAACCATAGAATGAGATACAACCTACACCATATGCATAATTGACAATTATGCCTGCAATACAGTTTTATTTACAGTGGTAAATATGGCCATTAGGCTTGCTCATTTTACATGGAAAATTTAAATCTGCATGCTATACAAATATTGAATATTAATGAGCTACATAAATTGTTATAACACATTTTCATGCAGAGGATCCTCTTTCTATAGTTCCTCCAGGCGTCACACACATCAGAGGAGTCTCTTATTACTAATTAAAAGCTTGCCTTAATTCTTCAGATTTGCATCTGTTTAAATTACAGTTGAGTCAATTAATGTTTGTTGATACAGTATGAGTTCTGTTTGATTAGAGAGCTGTCCTCAAGATCACGTTGTTTGGTTTCAAGCGAAAGTCATTTGTTAAAAGGGAATTCTTAATGTGCATTGAAGAGTAATATGTTAATATGGCACTGCTCACCTTTTTAGAGTCATTTTGGTAGATAATCAAGATAATGGATTTACAGTTTGTTATTGACAACACTGGCAACTATGACTACTGCTACATAACACATTTTGAATTACAGCACATACAGTTGAAGTAAAGTGAAGAATAACATCAGCTTGCCGCTGTCCATATATACTAAAGCATTAATGCTTTTCACTCAGGCATACAAATGCA